TGAACTAAAATATTAGCTGCTTTTTTAACATATTAATTATGAAATATTGCTCTAAATTATGAAATATTGCTCTAATTTTCCACCTCAACAAAATCTCAAATAATTTCCATGCCTTTTTCAATAAATTACTTTCCATAAACCACAATTTGACATTCTAAGTAACAATATTTACAGTGTCAACTGCTTTCAATTATTTAGCAACTCAAACTTAATTTGAGACTAATTTTTCTGCATATATTCTATGATGTTTCTGGTCGATGTTTCAAATAGTAATTTTGTCTTTTGTGAAGGCAGAACTAGGAAAACATTGTTACACAACTCCTGCAGTTCTTTAACTGGAAATCCAAGCACCTCATATTTTAAAGCATAAACCAGCTGTCACTTTGAACAAAAGTCAGAGCCAGTTTGGTCAGAAAAGCTGGACACATACAAAGCAAGAAAGCTGGTCATTTTAATCAATATATCACCTGAAAGGGTTAAAGAGCAAGGATAATTATCTCCTTGCTGCTTCTAACAGGTTACCAAATTGCATGCATCGTTTCCAGAGACTGCCTGAAAGAGCCACATCATAGGAGTGGGGGGCTTTCTCTGCAATTTATTTCTGGTTGATAAGGGCTGTTGAAGATACCACACATATCAAAACAACAGGAAGAGAGAATATCTCCCAAACTCTCCTGAGTTCCTCCTACAGCACCTCAATAACAAGGCAGAAGCAGCCAAATTCAAAACTAAGCAGCACAACAAAACACTAGAAACCAGAAGAGCTGAAAGACCAGACAATGTAATAGGGCATCAGACACTGCCACAACCAGAACACACAGGTTTGATACAACTGAATAAAACAACCTCCACCTAGACTTTGAACTAACCACTTGCCCTCTCCTCTTTCTCTTTCCAGATCACCTGTTGTTGCTCACAGTACTCTAGACTACTCCATATGCTCAAGATAAAAACATTTATATTAAGCCAAAATGCTAACCCTTCTAGTGTTTGGGTTCCCTCCCATTTCTTTCTTCAAAATCTAGGAAGCTGCATCAAAGCAATCTATCCTACAAGAATATGACCCATGCAAAGTTAGGAGTTAAAAAATATCAATACTTAAATTGCTTGAACAGTCGCTTGTTACACATGTGTTACGTTGTAGGCTTTGCATTAAATGATGCACAGAGCTCAGGAAGCAAATGATCCTGACATTAGGCATGCAGAAAACTTCATACATAAAAGCAGTGGAAGAGTTTACACCACCACAAAACAACTGGGTTTTCATGATCTGCCAAATTCTGTTGGTCTCATAGGATGCTATTACACTATAGATGGACTGTGATAATTTTTGCTAGAGAGAAAAAAAAAAAATCACAAAAACATAGCTGCACATGACAAACACATGCAAGCAGGTCTGCTGAAAAGCCATGTTATGTACAAGTAACATGAGCTGGTACACTTAATCCCCAACGTAGTAAAAGTACAGGTCAAAGTCAACTGTTAATTGAGGAGATGAAAAACTGTGCCTCATCTCCTCCCACTTTATAACCTTTAATTATGTATCTCTAAGCATAAAAATACCTCCCCTCCACATTACCATGCTATCTGCAGTGTTTCCTAGATTTAGTATTAAAGGTCTGAAATAGCTCTTTGCTACACATTTATCTAGAATATCAGTGGCATACAATCAGCTAAGGCAAGCTTTTCATTCTTCATTTTATCAGGCACCAATTTATACGTATGTAGTTTAAAATATACAATCTCTAGCAGGCTAATTTTTTATTGAAATAAATTTTATTTGAAACTTCTATCTTTTGTATGATATCCAGCTCACCCCAAAGGCTTAAGAAATTTAGCTTATATACTATTAATATATTGATAAGTGAAAGTGGAACATAAACACAAAATTGTTAGATATGTATCTCAACACAGCTTTGAGTAACCAAGAAGATTGAATTGAACACTGGTAAAAAAAAAATGATAGCACTATCCTAATGAGAGAATCATATCACAACTTTATCTGAACAGCTTTGAAAAGCTACAATGCATACATGTAAATATTTTAGCAAATAGTTTAGAATAGAGATAGAAGAGCTATTCTTGGGGGGGGGGGAAGTTCTAGAAGAACAAACAATTTTTTGCTATTAGTTTGGAAACTAGCAGTATCTTTAAAGATAGAAAACCAAAGCATTTCATGGAGCAAATGAAAACCAACACCTGAACCATACTGATAGTTCATAATATTCATGTTTCTAAATTAAAAACAAACAAACAAACAAAAAACCCAAACCTAAACCAAAAAACAACCAACACCTTATTCTCTAAGCAAAATGACTGTAATACCTGTGGTAACCTCAGTCTAGTCATTTGACAAGTATAAAGATGAGAAAGATAGAAAGAAACTTTGGATGTAGGTTTTCCATACAGAAAGCAGCAACTCTACTAAAGTTGTTCTTGTCCTGGCTTTGCAGACTGGGACTTCACTGGTTGAAAGGAATAGAGCAGGGAAGAGATGGAAAGCTTTCCTACTAAGCACTGACCTTAGGTACATACCCATACAAATTTCCTTACAACTTGTCTCCTGCAGTGCATCAACAGATTTTTTTTCCTGGTGTAGTACAAAATTTGCCATAAATAATATCTGATCAGCCACTACAAAAACTCACACAGAATAATTGTTCTCCAGCGACCATTTTGAACCAGCCCACTCCTATCACCCAATAAACACCAATTATGTGCTAAACATCAGGCTATCTATAGAAGTCTCTTATACTCTGAAATGTAAGCTGTCACCTTCCTCCTGAAAAAATCAAAATGACCCTAACAAAAAATTAAACCCACCAGCAACAGCTGAACACACAAAGGCTTTAGCGCCCATTCTGCAGGTATTTCCAGGTTGAACATGTTTAAGTTTTTCCCATTTTAAACCTCAGTTAGGTGAGACTGTAAACTCATTTAGACAAAGCTGTAAACTCAGACAAAACACGAACCTTTTCTAGACCTCTCCCAGAAGCTCCTTTAAAGAAAAACCTCAAGCTTATTTCTACTACAGAGCATATGCACCAAAGATATGAGAAAGAAAGCATCTGAAGGTCAAAATTCTTCTAAGTTTTTAATCAGTCTAAGATAACAGTAAGAACACTTGCAATATATACACCAGTATAACGGTAAGCATAACACTGAGTGGGAAAAAGTCCCATCACGCTAAATCCCAGATAATCACCTATTACAAACATTTTACAATTAATTCCCAACTTCTCTGAGAATGCAATCTCAATTTTTGCTATTCTCTGAAAAGTAAAAATCCAACTTTTATCAATTATTTTAAGCTTTCAATAGTTTGGCCATTCATTCCAAATGATTCATCAAAACTTTCATGTAATTTTTTTTTCATACCTTCCCTTAGTTTCTCATTAAATGTCATTCTACAAACAGTCCACCTTTCTCACACCAAAGAACTGACATTCCTTTGCAAATCCACCGCACAGACCAAAAAACATCCAGTGTCAAGATCTGTGAGTGCTGCCCTCTCTCCACAACTGCTTCAAAGCTAAGGACAGAGATATCAAGCACAGTGACACAATACTGCTCTTAATCAACCTAGGGAAGAGCAGTAACAGTATCATTCATCTAAGTATCACACCTCACTCTTGGTATATTTAGTGGAGTTTATTACCCTTGTTTTTGGCTTAAAAAAAGCACACATGAAACCCACCCACACTAAGCAGAAAGAAATAAGTACTTATTTTTCAATATACTTACCTTGCACCATTATTTCTAACTACTTCCACTGTTTCATCAACAAAATAGCGATCCTTGACATAAGCAAAGATTTCATCACAGATCTCATGAAGTCGGGTACGATGGGTAAGGGTGGCCAAATACAGAACTGGAATGACAAGTGCCTCTGGAAAACTTTGAAGGTTATGTCTGGCTTTCCTCTCTGATTCCAATGCTTCCTGATATGTGAGTCCTGGTTTACCTGTGACAGCACAGCTCCACACAAGGCTGTTGCAGAGAATAGTGCGTTCAAAAAAATCACTGAAAAGAAAGAAAGGAGGGGGAAGAAAGAAAGAAAACAGTTGAGTTCTGACTAACATTTTCAACTTGCTAACAGTTAATACAGCAACAAATTGCAAGTATCTTTTACAAGTCTGAAATGCAAAACCATTTGGACAAGTTATAGATAATTAAGGGTTATCTGCCACTTTTCAGCCATGGCATGGTAAATTGCTATTATAAAACCAAAGTCTCCTCTCACTACAGACTGCAGTAACAGCATCAAGATCTAGAAATGCTGCAAACAAATATTCATGTATAAGAAGCCTTATGCATAAAAATAATAATAACAATAATCACACTGAGTTTAATAGGTGTCATATCATACTCACATCCCACTCCATTTCCATAAATATTTGCAAGAGGAGCGTCTAAAACTGTACAAACATGAAATAACTTTAAGATCACAGAAACATGTTGCAACTTGAGTAAGTTTCAGATTTGAGTGCCTTAACTCACAAATGGAAAGATGGGAAAGGTAAAAAATTAATGTCAAGTAGTTCTCTAAATAGTTTTTATTCCTTCAGTGTTTGTATAGCTCTTAGAAAAAGTACTGAACTATTTTTTCCTACAGATTCTTCCCCTCCCTTGTTCCATTAGTAAACATTGATTCTCGTCCTTCCATATATTTCCAACTGATGCTAAAATTACATTGTTGTTATGGCTTGCTTGCTAGCTGTTATATTGGAATCAAGAAAGAAGAGCTTTCATTAGTTAATATTTCTCCTTTTTTGACAGGTATCAGGAAAACAGCGGTTTGTTAAAACACTTTCTAGATGAAGACAATGAGGTAGCTATTCACAAAACCACACTAAAACATATGATATACTACTGATCAGTGATTGGACAGCGGAGCAGTCTTTCAATATGCCCCACTTCAGACAATGCTTCTATTTGTCTTACTTTACAAATCTTAATGGACTAGTACTGATAAGTACACAACACACAAGACGACAAACTCAGGTTTTCAAATAATTTGTAATAATGGGGTTAGAGAGTTGGACAGTTCACACTGAGTTTTTTCCTGCAAACTCAAGCTGGCAAACGTTCATCAGTGACACTGATGCAGATGACAGTGTTCACTGCAGATGGACAGATGAACCATAACATTTTGTAAATGAAAATGGAAATTCCAAATTGAGGACAATGAAGGGTCTTGGCTCAGATAATCCTTTCTGTATGAGCACAGGATTCCTCTGAGTGAGATATGCTTTAGGAATAACATCAGCTGCGAGGAAGGGAAAAGGACAGAAGAGGAAGAGATATATTATCTGAATAATATTTAATAGCTACAAAAATTCAGATTTTTATATCACCTGCATCTACTTAATATATCTGACAGTACATGGATAATCTGGGCTTGTTTACTCTAAACAAGAAAAGGAGAAGAACAAAGCAGGGAGAATAAGATAAATTATTCTTCAGTATATGAAGAACACATGGCTGTCAGTCATTCATTGTGCATCTCTATTGTGTATTATAGTTACTAAAACATTTTAAAGAACGGGTTAGACAAAAATCTGTTTTGTGGGTTTGCTTTGGGGTTCTTTGTGAGGTGATCTAATGCATAAAACATGATCTCTTCAGGTCTCTTCCTCCCCTACATTTCTGTATTAGACTGAAAATAATTTTTACGGATGGATATTCAATGGACAAAGTATCAGTTACACAAATCATCATGCAGTTGTATGTATCTACATATATTTTTGTGTCTCACTTACCAAAGAGGTTCTTGATTATTATCTTTAGCCAGGAAAGAGAAAAATGCCCTAAAGAGAAACTATAAAATGTGCCAGAATATAATTTTCAAAAATTATGAAAGTAAAGGTTAAAAAAAAAAAGGCAGAGAGAGAGATCAAAGAAGGAGGGAGAGACAGAGGTTGAAACTGACAGTGTCCCTTTAAGAGCTGCTGTTATTCTTTATGAGGGGACACCAGGCAGTCATGCTATTTAAAGCAACAACACTGAACTTATGGGAGAGAAAAACCTAAAACAAACAAACCTAAACCCAAACAAACAAAACAAACAAAAAAACTCCCCAACAACAAACCCCTCTCTAAAAGTTTTTAATTCATGATTATTACAAGCAAAATGCTAAGATTACTTTAACTGAAACATATTTGAAGAAAACACGTTCCATTTGCATACAAGAGTAGTTTGTGTATCTAGTTTCATTCTCCTTCATTTCCTCTTTTGTTCTGTGTGGATATTTCCCCTGTGAATTTACAGGGAAGAAAAGAAATAGTGTGAAAAGAAATTATATTTGAATTTGAAAGTATTATTTATCTTTAGCTATCATTACCTATAGCACATCAAAATTAACTTGGTTTGAGAGAGAGAAGAAAACAAAATCCCAATAGTATAGATGTTACTGGTAGTACCCTTTCTGTCCCTGTCTCTCTTTAGTGCATGTCAGTTATCACAAAATGATTGACAAAGAGCACACACAACAGCTACCAAACCAAGAGAATGGTAGCAGCAGTAGTGATACCTTTTCTTTTTACTTCAAGAGTAATAATGCCGTTGATCATATTTTACATTCAACTTAAATTCACAACAGCAAGAGCATCTGCTGCTACATCACATTTGAAGCCTTACTTATATCTTCGTCTAGGGTATTATGGTCTTTGGGGCTTACTTGCTGGTTCAAGATCTCTGTGACTTTTGACAATATGGAGCAAGAAGTTCATAAAAAACATATCCACAAAGTGCACTCGCATCTGCCTGCAAGGAGTCAAATGTGACTGTGACCACCTTGGTGATATCCACACGAGCTCAACTACTCAAGGAGCACGGACTAAAAGCTAAGTTGTCTTTCTAGTAGTAATTAATGCTGACTTCTCAGACGGATGTCTCTTTTCATTTAGTTAGTTTGCCATGCAAGGTAAGGCAAACTGTAAAATTATCAGCAAATCACTGAGTAGTAGTTTAACACTGCTACTCAGTAGGTATTTGATTGGAGGCAGTTAATTAACAGAAGCTAGAAATAAATTACTTGCAATGTCTGTGCTGACTGCACTTGCAATGGATACAAAAATCCAGCCTAGAAATTACAGATGTCTTTTGCTTGAACTAACCAAGTATTCCCATTAGGTCCAAGATTTACTGTACTTTTAGTGTGCTTCAAGAACGCTTGTTTCAAACCACTTACTTTCATTCATTTTCTTAGCATATATTAAGAACAACTCATTTAGGGTATCATAGGAGGGTAATCACAGAAGACCAACTTTGCCATTCTGGACCACAGCATTTTCTTATACTCTTCATCTCCAGAAGTAGTCAAGAATACATATTACAAACAATGCACAAAACAAACAAGCAAAAAACCACGATAAATACATTTATTCCTTAATATTTACAGGTTAATTATGCATTAAGGAATATATTTAAAGTTATGAGTTTCTCCTCAAGAAAATAAAAAATCCACCTAATTTAACTAACAACTCTTAGCCTTTTAAACAGATCTCTTTTGACAGTAACCAAGAACTCCACAGGCCAATCTATAAAGAAGTTTCAGTAAGTTGAGAAGATGCAAAACTGCTCTTCCTCTCCCTCATGTGTTCTAAAATGAGGAACATTCCTACCACTGTATCTATACTACTCATCATTTTCTTTTTCAAACTGTCTTACAAGCAAGACTTCCTATGCGTATATATCCACACATCTATATCAGCTATTAACTTTCACAGACAAGGTGTCAAAGGCTGGTGGTAACATCCCACTGGTTTAATGTGTTTCTCATGCATCCCATACATCTCATGCAGCGCCGTACTTGCTTTTCCTATTATGGCTCCAGACACTCATTGCTGGTCTGTCCCTCTGACCAGGAATACAACATCAGTTCCCTCAGTTCCCGTTACTCATGATAAATACAAGTGAACACCGCCCCTTCACTGCCCTCCTGTTTTGAAAGGGTTACAAAAATACGCAATTGTATTTCAGATTAAAAAGGAAATACATTGTTAACGGGAAAGTCACTTTACAAAATACTAGTCTTGCCAAATTCTTCTCACATTAGCATAACCATTTCTTATATAGAGAAGAGTAATACTAATGTATGATTTCTATTCATCTCTACTGAAGCTGACACGGGCATGAAAGCAGCTTTTCAACAGTAAGTTTGTATTCTGTTGAAAACCCCCAAACAACCCAACAAAAAAACAAACAAGAAAACAACTTGAGTCTTAACTGTTTGTACTAATTAAAAGCATTCATACAGTTGATCAAAGGGGTGAATTCAGGTTACCACATGTATCTATACCACCCACCTGATCTAGTCAGACTGTAATTTTTAAATTTTCCTCTCAAAAAGTAGATTCAGAGAAGCCCAATTTAGAAAATGGTTTTCTTTCATGAAACAGCTAGTACAATTTTTAAGATATGGACCCTCCCTATCCTTATTAATCTAATTGCCCTTGCTTAAGCGAAGAAACAGGAAATGCAGTTTTCAGAAGACATTAGCTATGAGCTATTTGCAACCAGCAGAGATGAGGATTAGCATCTTTAAAACTTTCTGAAACATGACCCTATGTTCTCCAGCAGATTATGCCACAAACAACTAATATGAATCTAAACTTTCTGCCCATCTGTGCTGGAACACTTTGCTAAGTAAAAAATACCACACTTTTCAATCCAAAGCACCAATTTTACCCAACCTAACAAAAAAGCCATAAAAGAATTAAAAAGAAAAAAAAATCAAGAAACATACCACCAAAAAAAAAAAAACACTACCCCACCCCACATACACAAAACACAAGCATAGGAGTTTTCTGCAGTTTTCCCAAATACTATATTCAAAGGCTTAACCTCTGAGCTAACCACCTACTGATATTTCTAGAGATCACCTGTGTGACCATGTCTAAATTTACCCCTTAACTCATGAACTTTGGCTAAATAACGAATTTGGTCTTTCATACTTCTTAGTGACAACACCTTTGCAGTATAAATAAGCCTGTCAGAGTACTTAAAATACCAAACCCTTTAAGAACAGAAAAACATTTTAAAAGGATACTCTTAATGTTGAAATTTTAGTACAACTACATGTACATGAAACATATTTCAGCACAGTGTCAAACAACACATGAGAGTCACCTAATTATGTGATAATAGTAATTGTAACCAGAAAAACAGCTTTCAAAATATCAGAAGCTGGGGGCGGGGAACTTAATTCCTATAGAAACAGGAGCCTGTCAGCTCTTCCTTCTTAGGTTCTTATATGACCTATGATGAAAATACTCCTTACAAAACTCCCAACAGCATATTCAACATCCCTCTTCTCCCCTAGAGTATACAGGCCAGGAAACAGTAAGGCATCACCCTTCAAATTACCTAATCCAGCTTCGTTAAAATTTTATTAAGCAGACTGTATTTGAGTAAGAAAAACAAGTCTAAACATGAAAAAGATTTAGGTGTGCTTTAATTTCATACGCTGCAAATGAAAAGCATTTCAGATTTAATCTCGTTAGTCTGCACATCTTTAAAAAAACAGAGTTTGGATGCGGGGGCCTTTTTGTAGTGGGGAGGGTGCTGCATGATACCGGGGTTGAAAACACGTAATTTATCGGCTTTGAAAAACGTCTCGCTAAATACTTTCGGTCCATTGTTCTTACAAGCGGTGAAGTGAGCGGCAGCAAGTTCGGGACTACCCGTGCCATCCGCCTTCAACCGTTAACGGGAATTTCACCATTTCCATTGGGCTTTTTTCACACGGAGAAAAAAAAAAGGAGGGGGAAAAAAAAAAAAGAAGGGACGGGAAGAGCGATAAAAGCCTCACTAGAAAGAGAGCTCCTAAAGGGACAGGTGTGCCCGCTTTAGGCCGGGTTTAACTCCTGGCGGTGCCACTCGCCCACCTGGCCGGGGCGGAGGGCTCCGGCTGCGGGACTCCCGAACAGGTGCAGCGACACCGCGTTCGGGCCGCGCTCCCCGCCGGCCGGGCCCGCCGGCCATTTCCAACCGCGTCAGCCGGCGGCTACCCGCGGAGGCGGGGCGAGCGCGGCCCTAGGCTGCGCGGCGGGGCCAGCAGCAAGGGGTTAATCGCAGCGGGAGCCGGCCGGGAAGCCCAGCGGGCCGGGCAGCCAGCGCCCCCCGCCCGGCCGTCACCACAACAATAGGGCGACCGGCACATGCCAGGTGGGCGGGCGGCCCCGTTGCGCCGCCTGGACGCGGGCCCGGCGCGGCCCCTTCCGCGGGGTGGCCTAGCGCCGTCCGCCGCCGACACGCGGCTGCCGGCGGGGGCGGACGGGAGGGAGAGCCCGGGCCCGGCAGACGCTCGGTACCGCCCGCCGCCTCCCACACGCGCAACTTTCACTTCCCCGGCGGGAGCTAGGGCGACAACGGGGAAGGAGCGGCGGGGAAGGAGCCGGTTGCCTTCCTTCCCCGTGGGCGAAGGGGGCTGCGGGGTACCCCCGCCGAGGAGGGACAGGGATTCCCCCTACCCCGGGCGAGAGATCCGCCCTCTCTCCACCACCCGCCTCGGGAGGGCACAGGCTCGGCGCCAGCCGCAGTCCCCCTCACACCCCCCGGCAGGGCTCCCCGCGGCGTTCCGGGGAATCCCTTTCCCTCTCTCCCCGCCCGCCCAGGTGTCAGAGTCGATGGGGGCTCGAATAGCTCCCTGCCCGCCGCCGCAGCGCGGGGGGTGCGCAAGACGGACGCAGCGACGCGGACACCGACTCGGGGCTGTCGCTTACTCGTAGTTCCTGAAGATCTCGTTAGTGACCCTGCAGTAGAAAACGCGCTCGTCCGGCCGGAGGTCCGCGGGGGGTTTCACCCTCACGAAGGGCTTTCGGTGCAGCAGCGGCATCGCCCCGCTCCCGGCTCTCTTCCTGCCCCAGGATCAGCTTCCGTGGATCGGGGGGGGGAGGGGGGAATAAAAGAAAAAACAAAACACAGAGGGGGGGAGTAAGCGAGGCAACGGCGCCAACCGGCCCGGGGAGGAGGCAGGGGGCCCGGCGTGTCCCTCCTCCCGGGGGAGCCGGGTCAGGAGGGAACCGGAGCGGCGGCGGCGGAGCCTTTTGTGTGCCCGACACGCCGTTGCCTGTCTGGGACTGCGCGCGGACCAACGGCGGCACCTTCCTCCGCCTCCGCCCGCCTCACAATGGGGCCATGACGCCGAGCGGCGGGCGGAGGCGGCAACCCCCCCCCCCGCCCCGCAACGTGCTCGGCTCGGGGATACCCCGGCCGCGCTTTGTCTGCCGCGGCTCCCCTGCCCCCAGGTCACCTCCTTCCCCCCGCCTCTGACCCACACACGCCGGGCCGGACACCAACTTCCACTCCCCCGCCGCCTCCGCCTCCTCCTCCTCGCAAAGCAAACACCCAGAAGGGGCAGCGCCGACCACTTATCTCCCTCCTTCCCTTCCTGCCGGGTCGCTGCCTGACGGGGGTCCTCGCCCTTCCCGCCCCGCGCCTCGCCCCGGCCCGGCCCGGCCCGGCCCAGCGGCCGCCGAGCTCCGCCGCCGCAGGACAGCGCGGCCGCGGCGCGGGGGCAGCCCGGCCTCCGGCCTGTCCAGCGGGGGCTGCGCGGCTCCCTCGCCTCCTGCCCACCTGGTGCGATCGCAGACTGCGCTCGCTGCTCGGCCGGTGCG